AAATGTGACGTACCAATGTTTGTTTGGACCATGGCGCTGCGATTTGCGTGAAGGGCGCCGCGGGTTCTCATAATTCCGAAGATATCCCTAGCGAAACGGCCAGACACATCGCGACCAGGAACTTCAATTCATCGCCTCCGAGTTCTTAATTCCCTCGAGGAGGTTCATAAAGTACTACGTAGAGAACCATCATGGTTTGAGCTGTCGCTATATCGATCACGAACGAAACCATCGAAACACATTGCACATGTACCGTGTTTTTGAAGGTTGTGTGTTGAACTGTTGGAATCCGTATGGTTTTGAAACCGTGACGCCACGATCTGTGTGAAGGTTGCCATCGATGTTCCGAATTCCGAGGATATCCCGAGCGAAACAACCATAAACATCGCGAGCGGGACCTTCACTTCATCGCCTCCGAGCTCTCTACACCCTCGGAGAGGTCAACCTGATAATGTGTAAATATATCTATATATTTATATATATATAGTTATATATATAACTGATTTATGTACTATGTATAATTTACATCTCTCTCTATGTATATCTGTACACATATGTACGACGGTGGCTCTGCACGGAGTGGGCCTGTCCTCAGGTCCCTTGTAATCCCCAGCCATGCGGGTTCAAGCTCCTCAGAGGACCCAGACCCAACACTCTCAAATCTCTTGGGGCTCTGCGCGGCTTCTCGCATGACTCTTTCGGAGCCTAAGGGGCCCCGATGCGGGCCAAGAGGGCCTCGAGAGGACCTCAATGTGGTCCAAGTAAGCTCCGAATCGCCGAGCGACCGGACCAAGACGCCCAAGATGGCCTCCTGACGGCCGAGCAGGCCTCTAAGGCAACACTCACAGGTTTTCACTCGGCTTTTGAAACATTTTGGCGTTCTCACCCTTTCGGCTTCCCGACGCTTCAAGAGTGCCCAAGAGGCCCCCAATCTTGCCCAAGAGGCCTCCCAAGATGGCCTACGAGGCCCCCAAGACCGCCCAAGAGGCCCCCAAGGCGGCTCCAAGAGGGGGCCCAGACGGAGGAGGCCCCAAGAGGCCTCCAAGAGACCCCCAAGAGGCCACAAGAGACCCCCAGGAAGCCCCAAGAGGCCCCCGAGAGGCTCCCAAGAGGCATCAAAACTGCCCTCCCCCCCCCCCCCCTTAGGCCACCGAGAGCGCTCCGAAGAGAGCCCAAGATGCATCCCTGGGGACTCTGAACCACAAGCCAGGTACGGTGGCGGGAGTGGCCGAAGGTCATTGAAAGCAAGTGCGCCATCATATACAAATACGCATTCGCTTTGATCTTCCTCCTCCTCCTCCAATTCCTCCTCCTCCTCGGCATCGCCATCAGCTCCACCATCAACATCGCTGTTATCCAGATCGTACTCGTCGTCGTCCTCGTTGTGGTAGTCGCGGCCGCCATCATCACAACCACCATCATCAGCACCATCATCATCATCATCATCATCATCATCATCATCATCATCATCATCATCATCATCATCATCATCATCATCATCATTCGCATCATCATCAACATCATCATGAACATCAACATCACCACCACCATCATTATCATCATCACCACCACCATCATTATCGTCATCATCATCATCGTCGTCGTCATGGTCATCGACATCAATATCCTCAGTCTCATCCTCATCCTCGTCGTCATCAACATCATGTTCCTCATCCTTCCACGCCCGCCTCAATCATAGTCCTTTTTGTCCCTTCATCAAAATCTTTGTCGTCATAGTTGTTGCAGGCGTCGGCATCATCATCATCATCATCATCATACAAAGACTCATCATCATTATCATCATCATGATCACCATGATGTTGGTCATCATGAACATCCTCATCATCCTCATCATGATCGTCATCATCAACGGTATCATCATTCTCATCATCAGCATCACCATCATCACCATCCTCATTCTCATCCTCATCCTCATCCTGTCTCTAAGGTTTCAGTGCGTGTCGTGTCTGTGTCTCTGAGGCTTAAGTGTGCGTCTTGTCTGTGTCTCTGAGGCTTAAGTGCGTGTCGTGCCTGTGTCTCCAAGGTTTAAGTGCGTGTCGTGTCCGTGTCTCTGAGGTTGAAGTGCGTATCGTGGTTGTGTCTCTGACGTGTAAGTGCGTGTCATGTCTTTGTCTCTGAGGTTGGAGCTGCAGTGCGTCGTACGGTGTCTGGGGTATGGTGTTCATAAGCGGCGGCTGGGCCACAAAAAACCCACCAAGGCCACCAATGCCACAGACAACTTCAATGGGGCCGCAGAAAGCCCCAACGGGCCACGGAAAGCCCAACAGGCTACATAAAGACCTTTCCCCCTTCGGGGATACGAATCTGGGGGTCATTTTTGTTTTTTTTGGTTTGTTTTGTTTTGTTTTCTGTGTTGTTTTTTTTTTCTTCTCCCCCAAACCCTCCTTGGTTGGGTATTCGTTTGCAATAAAGCACTGCGGTCTCCAGTCCTCCTCCTCCCGCCTCTCGCCTCTCGCTTTCCTCTTGTCTCCTCTTGTCGTGTGCGTACCTCGTGAGGGTGTGTGTGTGTGTGTGTGTGTGTGCATCCTGGCTGCGGTACCTCTTGTGTGTGTGTGCGCATCTTGCCAGGGGGCTGCATTCTGTGACACTGTCGCCACTTTCGAGAGCTGCTGGTGGGTCCAGCGGAGTGGGGCACCGCGGGGACCTGAGCGAGACATCGCCCTCCCTGGGGGGCTGCGATCTGCGACACTGTTGCCACTTTCGAGGGCTGCTGGTGGGTCCAGTGGAGCGAGGCGCCGCGGGGACCTGAGCGAGACCTCGCCGCCCCAGGGGGAGCTGCGATCTGCGACACGGTCGCCACTTTCGAGGGCTGCTGGTGGGTCCTGCGGAGTGAGGCACCGCGGGGACCTGAACGAGACCTCCCCGTCCCTGGGGGGCTGCGATCTGCGACGCTGTCGCCACTTTCGAAGGCTGCTGGTGGGTCCAGCGGAGTGGGGCACCGCGGGGACCTGAACGAGACCTCGCCGTCCCTGGGGGGCTGCGATCTGCGACGCTGTCGCCACTTTCGAGGGCTGCTGGTGGGTCGTGCGGAGTGAGGCACCGCGGGGGCCTGAACGAGACCTCCCCGTCCCTGGGGGGCTGCGATCTGCGATGCTGTCGCCACTTTCGAGGGCTGCTGGTGGGTCCAGCGGAGTGGGGCACCGCGGGGTCCTGAACGAAACCTCGCCGTCCGAAGGGGGGCTGCGATCTGCGACGCTGTCGCCACTTTCGAGGGCTGCTGGTGGGTCGTGCGGGGTGAGGCACCGCAGGGACCTGAGGAAGACCTCGCCGTCCCTTGGGGGGCTGCGATCTGCGACACTGTCGCCACTGTCGAAGGCTGCTGGTGGGTCCAGCGGAGTGAGGCACCGCGGGGACCTGAGCGAACCTCGCCGTCCCTGGAAGCTGCGATCTGCGACGCTGTCGCCGCTTTCGAGGGCTGCTGGTGGGTCCAGCGGAGTGAGGCACCGCGGAAACCTGAGCGAGAGCTCGCCGTCCCTGGGGGGGCTGCGATCTGCGACACTGTCGCCACTTTCGAAGGCTGCTGGTGGATCCTGCGGAGTGAGGCACCGCGGGGACTTGAGGGAGATCTCGCCGCCCCAGGGGGAGCTGCGATCTGCGATACTGTCGCCACTTTCGAGGGCTGCTGGTGGGTCCAGCGGAGGCACCGCGGGGACCTGAGCGAGACATCGCCCTCCCTGAGGGGTTCTGGAGAGCTGCTGTGGGATACGTTGGGTGCAACGGGCGCATGGCACAGCCAACGGGAGTGATTTGTTATTACGTAGCCCTTCTATCTTGATCGGGGGCCTGCGAGCCTTCAGATTTCTGCTCGCGAAATCACATGCGTCCATGTTACGTCATCGCCCCCGTTGTAGCAATCCTGATGTACG